AATTGCTTAATTAGAGCCCAGCGCGTGCAGCCGGTTGTGGGGACTGGGGATGTGTAGGGTTGGGAGCGGGTGCTGCATCCTAGCCTGGGTTGGGACCATCTCCATGGTGCTCAGCCCTGGGGACCATGGTGGGCTTGGCTGAGGGGGGTCCCTGGGCTGCCCTCCAAGTCCGCAGGGATCTGGCCACTGCTCTGCGGGTCCCCGTCCCTCCCGGTGACAGCTCTGCCCTCTCTCCGCAGGTGGCAGCAGTCTGCGAAGTCCTCGGGTTTGGCCAGCAACCTGCAGCCTTCAGGTGCCAAAGCCGACGCTCTCAGGGAGGAGATGGAGGAGGCGGCCAACAGAGTGGAGATTTGCAGGGTACCCAGGGGTCCTGGGGCGATCACTTCTTGCTGGGGTGGGGGGACCTCAGCATCCCAGGCACCGTGGAAAACCCACAGCCTCCCCTCTTACCCCATTCTTCACCTTCTTCCTATGCCAGTGCCCATGGGAACCCTTTTCCAGGTGGTCCCATGCCCAGAGGCAGCCCGGCGGCAGCCCTGACCCCCCCATCACCACCGGGTGCTGCCGGGGCTCACCGGGTGCTCGAGGTGCCACCTTTGAGAGACAGCAGCTGCACCGGAGCTGCCGAACATGGGTGATGCTTGCCAGCCAAGCAGGGCGACCCCAGCTCCAGTGTCCCCATCCATACCCCGCCGGAGCCAGAGAGCATCCCCTTCCCAGGGGACCCATCCCAGCAGGAGCCAGCGAGCTCAGCACCGAGTAAACCCAGCCCTGGCCCAGAGACCTGCGGGAAGCACCAGCACGTGCCGAGCCCACGCATGCCGCCCAGCCACGTCACCCCCGCCATCCTGCGGGAGCATGACTCGCCCAGCTGGTCACGCTGGGTGTGAAGAGTGTCCAAGAGAGGGGGACGCTGCTGCCAGCGCCTTCATCGTGGGCTGCGGGATTCAGCGATGAAACCTGCAGGCAATTTTGTGTGGCTTTAAATTCCCCCGGGCAGAAGATGCAAAGGTTCAGGTGAACCTTGCACTATGAGTTTTGGGTAGGAGATGGAGCTGGGTGCATGTCTCAAATCCTGGCTCTTTTCTCCAGGAGCACAACCAGAACCCCTGTTGCCTTTAAAATCCAGTCCCAAACTCATGCTCTCTCCATCTTCGAGCATCGCAGCCCCACGTGCCCAGCAATTTCCAGCAAACTAGCTCAGCCAGGAGCTGCCCCCCAGTATATTCACCCTACTCATGGTGGGTGTTGCAACTGGGACGTGCTCGCAGTGTTTTGAAACCCTGATTGTTTTCCTCCAGTTGAGTTATCCAAGGGGATTCTCAGAAAGGAGCAATTTGGGAAGTGGCAAAGTCTATTTGCGAGCATGAGGACAGAGAGACGCGTGTCCTGGTGCCAAAGGGCTCGTTGCAATTCGGAGCAAGAAACATCCCATGCCCCATCAGTCTGGTCCGCACCAAGTGGTTGGGACGCTGCCCGCGGCTGCCGAGCCGTGCGCGCTGCTTTAACCACAGGGCTAATTGCTGCGTGACAATGAGCCACTTGCACGTGAGGAGCAATGCTGCAAGGTGCTGGGACGAGCAAACTTGGGGTTTAATTTGCGCCGTTCAGCCCGCTGGGATGTGCAGCCTTTGGCTGTGTTGTGGTTTAACCCCAGCTGGCAACTGAGCCCCACGCAGCTGCTCGCTCGCTCCCCCCCGGTGGAAGAGTAAAAGTGAGAAAACTGGTGGGTTGAGCTAAAGACAGTTTAATAGGGAAAGCAAAAGCCATGCATGCAAAGCAAAACAAGGAGTTCATTCCCTCCTTCCCATCGGCAGGCAGGTGCTCAGCCATCGCCAGGAAAGCAGGGCTCCATCACACGTAGCGGTGACTTGGGAAGACAAATGCTATCACTCCCAACATGCTCCCCTTTCCGTCTTCTTCCCCAGCTTCACATGCCCAGCGTGACGCCATACGGTGTGGGATATCCCTGGGGTCAGCTGTCCCAGCCGTGTCCCCTCCCAGCTCCCTGTGCCCCCCAGCCTCCTCACTGGTGGGGGGGTGACAGCAGAAAAGGCCTTGACTCAGTGTCAGCACGGCTCAGCACTTGCCAAACCAGCCCTGTGTTATCAGCGCTGTTTCCAGCACAGATCCAAACCATAGCCCCACACCAGCTGCTGTGAAGAAAATTAACTCTCTCCCAGCCAAACCGGCACAGGCTGACAGGTTGTTTCCAAGTAACTCTCACTTCTAGAGAGCTCGTTGCAAGGCACTGGCTAATTGTGGGCTCTGGAAGGAGCAGGGCAGCGAGGGTGGAGGGCAGCAGAAAGCAAAGCCCTGCAATGCTGCTGTGTGTGCGGCATCCCAAGCGCATCTTGAGCGGGTGCTGCAACATGCCACGTTGCACCTTGGCTCCTGGTGTGGCCAAGCCGGTCCCTCCTGGTGGCCTCCGAAAAGCCCATCATGGTGGTATCAGGGCAGCACGAGTGGGACGGTGACTAATTCTCTGCTCTCCGCAGGACCAGCTCTCGGCTGACATGTACAATTTTGTGGCCAAAGAAGTAGACTATGCAAACTATTTTCAAACCGTAAGTGCCACCCATACCCATGGGACTCCTCCGTCCCCATCCGTAGGGGTGACAGCCAGTGCCGTCTCTCCCCCCAGCTGATCGAGGTGCAGGCAGAGTACCATCGGAAATCCTTAGCGCTTTTGCAGAATGTCCTGCCTCAAATTAAAGCCCAGCAGGGTAAGTGCCGGCGGGGTCTGTCCCGCTCCTGCATGCAATGCCGAGGACTCCACGTCACGCCGGAGCCATACGGGACTGCGCCGTGCCGATGAGCTGGCTGCAGCGTGACGCCACGCCATGGTGTGGTGCTGGGTTTGTGGCTGAGCATCCTCCCTTTGCTCGCCCCGTCTGCATCCCGCCCGCCCCGGCGCTGGGGAGGGCATCCCCGTCCCACTTGGTGGCAGGGGGCAGGATCCAGCCGGCAGCATGGAGCGGGGCGGGGGGAAACCTGCCCAAATATCCCCATCGAGCGCAGCACCGGAGGTGGGAACCCAGCGCCAAGGGGGATCTTGGGGCTTTGCTTTGCAGTGCGCAACCTCCGCAGGAGGTGGGCTGGGAGACCGAGGTCGGGGAAAGCCCCGCACGATGGCCCCAAGAGCAGCGCGTTCCCCAGGGCAGGGCTCGGGGTGCTGCCGGGGCAGGGAGTGATCTGTATTTTATTTTTTTCTCTTGATCCTACAAAATATTCCTGCCTCAAACTGTGATGGAAGAAGGGGGAATATATTGCAAAGGTTTGCCTGTGATTGCTCCCCCCGGAAAACGTTATCCAGCCCCTTTGAAATGTCCTGTGTGATGACTGGAAAACATTTTGTTTGGATTTCATCTTTAAAAAGCACTTCCCGAGCCACCCAGGACGGAGGTGTGGGGTCCTGTTGTTTTAGCAACACTCAGATGGAATATTTTGCTGCTGAAACGCTGTGATCCAAGGGGCTTTCGGGGAGGGGAGGCCGGACCCGGTGCCGTCCCCGCCATGTCCTCTCCTTCCTCTCACCCCCTCTGCCCGTCACAGAGGCGTGGATGGAGAAGCCCTCCTTCGGGAAGCCCTTGGAGGAGCACCTGGCTGTCAGCGGGCGGGAGATCGCCTTCCCGGTGGAGGCGTGCGTGACGATGCTGCTGGAGTGCGGCATGCAGGAGGAGGTGGGTCCCATGTCCTACCGCCCTGGGTTGGGCATGATGGAAGGGACATGGGTGCAAGGGGATAAGGAACCGGGGGGCTTTGGGGACATCCCTGGCCCCAAAGCTTGTCTGATGCTCTCCCGTGTCCTCTGCGAAGGGTCTCTTCCGAGTGGCTCCCTCGGCCTCCAAGCTGAAGAAGCTCAAGGCCGCCCTGGACTGCTGCGTGGTGGACGTGCAGGAGTACTCGGCCGACCCGCACGCCATTGCAGGTAGGGGCTGCCTCGGGGCGGGGGGGCTGGGGTGAGCAGGATGACCCATCCAGCCCCCAAGCGCCCACCTTGGGCACCCAGAGGGTGCACGAAGTCTCGTTGGAAGCCAGTAACTAGGGGTGTAGTCCAGGGGTTGATATGGGGTCCGGTCCTCATTAGCATCTTCATTAACGACGTGGACGATGGGGTAGGGCGCACCCTCAGCACCAAACCGGGAGGGGTGGCCGATGCTCCAGAGGGTCGTGCTGCCATCCAGAGGGACCTGCATGGGCTGGAGAGATGGGCTGAGGGAGACCTGGAGAAGTTCAGCCAGGGGACATGTCAAGTCCTGGCCCTGGGGAGGAGCAGCCCCGGGCACTGGGACCAGTTGGGAAGCAGCTTAGCAGAGATGGCCCCAGGGGTCCTGGTGGCCACCAAGCTGACCATGGGCCAGCAACACGAAGGCAAATAGTGTCCTGGGCTGCAGTGGGAGGAGTGATGGCAGCAGGTCAAGGGAGGTGATCCTGCCCCTCTGCTCAGCACTGGTGGGGCCACACCTGGAGTGCTGAGTCCAGTGCTGGGCACTATGAGAGACATGGACATACTGGAGAGTCTCCAGTGAAAGGTCATGAAGATGATGAAGGGCCTGAAGCATCTCTGCTAGGAGAAAAGGCTGAAGGAGCTGGAGCTGTTCAGCCTGGAGCAGAGATGGCTTGGGTGGGATCTCATCGATGGATACAAATACCTGCAGTGAGGGTGCCAAGAAGTCAGAGCTCTTTCCAGTGGTGCCAGTGCCAGGACGAGAGGCAGTGGGCACCAACTGAACCACGGGAGGTTCCCTCTGAACATCAGGAGACACTTTGTCATTGTGCAGGTGACCAAGCATTGGCACAGGTTGCCCAGGGAGGTGGTGGAGTCTCCATCCTTGGAGATACTCAAAAGCCATCAGGACACAGTCATGGTCCTGCTGGAGCATGGGGTTGGACCAGATGACCTCCAGAGGTCCCTTCCCACCTCAACCTGTCTGTGATTTGTCCCAAAGCCTTTGAACAGCAAAGGCAGCGTATATGGGGGGACAAATGTAGGTGCAGAAATACAGCTCTTGGGGCGTTCGGGAGTTGCCATCCACCAAGGCGCACAAACAAGTTTGCGTAACCTTGACCTGCACGTCCCCTCCCCAAGCCAAGGGCTCGAGCAGAACTTTTGGTCACAGGCAAGGAAGAAAACAGGGATGCAATTGTAATCCAAGGTGGCATTGGGGACCTGGTGACACTAATGAGGGTGATGCTGATCAGGAGTGGCTCCGCAGGAGCAGGGAGCGGTCAGGATGTTTCACACGTGTTATCATCAAGCTAGCCATCTTCTCTCTACCTCTTGTGGGGTGAAGACCCTCTCCAAGCACAGATCTGAGCCCGCAGGGCTGCTATTAAGCATTAATTGGGTTCAAATGCCAGTCGGCTGCCCCCATCCTGGGCTGGGCTCTCCAGCGGGTGCAGGATTGGACCCTGGTTTCCTACTGACTGCAATGGGAACCTTCTTCCAGTGCAAGGAGCGGTGAACGTCCTAGACAAAAAAATGAGTATTGAAGAGCTGCGTGAACACCCAGTGGAGGCAAAAATGGTGGAGGGAATTGGGGAGGTGCCCAGAGGGAGTAGGTGGAGGTGGCGAGGTGGTTGCTGGGGGTCAGGGGATGCTACGGGCTCTGCCAGGCTGGAGGGACTAATGGGTGCTTTGGGATGTGTGGGTGGGGAGGCTGGGAGGGATGCGAGTCAAAATGCCAAGGAGTGAAACCGCTCGGTGCCTGGTGGCCAGTGCCACTCATGACGCCTCCCGCGGTGCTGAGCCCTGTGTCCCTTGCGTGCCGCAGGAGCCCTCAAGTCCTACCTGCGAGAGCTGCCAGAGCCCCTCATGACGTTCGAGCTGTACGAGGAGTGGATCCAGGCCTCCAAGTGAGTCTGGGGCATCTCCCCCATTCCTCCATGACACGGGCGGTAGCACCTCGGGTCCCCGTGGATGGTTTGGGGACCGTGAGCGATTTCTGACATGGCTCACAGCGTTTTGGATGTTTCCTCTGGGGTCTGAGAGCCAGGAGCGTTCCTGTGATGCTCCTTGAGCATCGTGGGTCCCAGCAGCAAGGGTGGCCTTGGCGTCCCCCACCCCTGATGTCCCCACCGTGATCCAGAGCACCCTGGCCAAGGTGGCTGAGCTCTCCTAGCATCTTTCGGCAAGCCCGTGGGTGCCGGGCGCTGCGGCCATTTCTGGATGGGTGTGCAAAGCCTGGGGACAGCTGGCCAAGGGAGCTCCCACCTGCTTTGCTGGGGTGCTCTGCACCCTGAAACCCCCCCAAACCAGCAGGGTGGGGCCAGCTGAGGTGGCACCAGGGTGCCTGCTCCACCGTGGGAGGTGTTTGGGGTAGGGGGTGAGGGGCAGAGGGAGGTGGGAGAAGGAGCTCTCCTTTTAGGGTGGGAACCACCTCAGTGGTGCCTGAATATGGGTCTGACCATGTCCTCCCCCTGTCCTGGGACTGCTGGAGCATGGCAGGGACGTGGCGGTGGCTCGACGGAGGGGACAGTCCCCAAGGGTGGCACGTGGGGGAGCAGGCTGTTGTTTTGGGGGGCTGTTTGCAGTAATTTCGCCTTCAAAGGGGAACACATCCCCAAAACGCAAACCTCGGGGGGGCTGTGCAGAGGTGAGGGGAGGAGCAGCATCCAGCCTGCAGCCGAAAGGTTTCCTTCTCATTTTGGCCAGGTTTTTGGGGTTAATTTATTTATATAATGTTGGCAGCAGCCCCAGGGTCTCGCGGGGTCCCTGAGGGCAGGGCTGGGAGGTCCAAAGCCCTGGGGTGGGGTGGGAATGGGGGATGACCCTCTCGCCCACCTCCTCGCAGCATCCCGGAGCAGGAGAAGCGGCTGCAGGCTCTCTGGAACGCCTGCGAGAAGCTGCCCAAAGCCAACTACAACAACATCAGGTGAGCCTGGGGCCAGCGGGACCCGGGGAGGGGATGGAGTGGGAGTCATCCTGGAACACCCACACGGCTTGGCTCTGCTTGCCAGGTACCTGATTAAATTCCTGGCCAAGCTGACTGAGTACCAGGACACGAATAAAATGACGCCGAGCAACGTGGCCATTGTGCTGGGACCCAACCTCCTCTGGCCGCAGGCAGACGGGTAAGGTATCCGGGTGGAAAGCGAGCGTGCCAGAGGGATGCTGGGGAAGGGGGTGTCTGGGGCCAAAATCCTGTTGGGAATCATGCTGGGCTGCGCCGGGGTTGCTGAGCCGCTGCCCGCCGCCTTGCAGGAACGTGACGGAGATGATGACGACCGTCTCGCTGCAGATTGTGGGCATCATCGAGCCGCTCATCCAGCACGCCGACTGGTTCTTCCCCGGAGGTAGGCTGTGCCCCGTGGCCATGGTGGGGCAGGATGGGCTTCGTGGGACCTCCCGGCCCTCCTCCTGGGGAGGGGGTACTGAGCTGCTGTAGTTATTTTTGCCACCCCCCTCTGCTTGCCTTGGATTGGGGGGGGGGGTCTCAGGCAGAGATCTGGCAAGACTCATCGCAGCAGTGAGCCCAACCCAGCCGCTCCAGCATCCCCTGCAGTGCCAATACCCCCATCCCACCCCTCACTGAGGACACACAACCCAAGGTCCCCTCCCCTCTCCTTCCCCCACCGCAGACATCGAGTTCAATGTGACCGGCAACTACGGCAGCCCCATGCACGTCAACCACAACGCCAACTACAGCTCCATGCCCTCCCCGGACATGGACCACGCAGACCGCCGGCAGCATGACCAGGCGCGGCGGCCCCTCAGCGTGGCCACGGACAACATGATGCTGGAGTTTTACAAGAAGGATGGGTAGGGTCTTTGCGGTGCCAGGGTTTGGGGAGAAGGGAGGTGGTGGCACTGAGGTGGGGGAGGTTGGGTGGGAAGACCCCCCTGCTCCCCATGCTGGGCTCTTGGGGATGCTCAGGTGGCCGGGGGCTTGATGCCTGCCCCCAGCCCGCTGTGTGGCACCGGGGCTGTGCCATGGTGGGGTCGGGTGCCCTGGTGTCCCCAAGCTCTGCGGGCTCCGCTCCTGGGCAAAGCTCCCCGCTCCCAGCCTGTGCGTGTCCCCTGCTGTGCCACCTCCCAGGGACCACAGCCAGTCGGGTGGGCTCCAGAAAACACCCTGGGGCTCTCCCCATCGACAAAATATGTTCCCAGGCCTCTCCCCATCTTTAAAAAACACCCCCAGGGCTCTCCCCAGCTCCAAAAATATGTCCCCAGGGCTCTCCCCTTCTCCGGCAGAGCCTGGTCCCCCCGTGCCACTCCCGCCCCCTCGCTCGAAGCCCCTTGCCCCCGCAGCTCCCTTCCGAGCAGCGGGCTCTCAGCCTGGGCACTGTCAAGTTTTAGGGTCTCTTTACACTAATAATCGTGTGTTTCTGCCCATGCAGCCTTAGGAAAATCCAAAGGTACTGTGTCCTCTGCAGCGGTGCTGGGAGGGTGCTGGGAGGGTGCTGGGAGGATGCTGATGCCTGCTGGTGCCTGGGGAAGGGAGAGGTGGCCGGTGGGTGACACAAGCACGTCCCACGCTGCCACCCCTGCCCTGTTGCCCTGGAGGTTCATTCCCAGCAGCTTCCCTGTGGAAGAGGCATTTTTAGGGACCAGCACCCCAAAGGAGCCGTGACGCGGTGCCGGCGGTCCCCTCCGGCCGGGCGGGTGCTGAGCGCCTGTCTCTGTGTCCCCGCAGCATGGGCGTCAGGGTGATGGACACCTCGTGGGTGGCTCGCCGAGGCACCTCAGGGGTGCGCAAGGCGTCCTCCACCCCGCCGGCCGCTCAGCCCCCCGCGCCGCCCGCCGAGCTCCCCGCCGCGCCCCACTCGCCCATTCCCGAGCAATC